GATAGATTTCCTCCAAAGTCTCTGAAAATAAAACTAGTAATCACAAAATTCTTAAATTATTTAATTTGTAATATTTATTGTTAATTAGTTTTGAGTTTATGAAGCACTTTCTTTAGTCAAATTTTGTCGTAAGCGCCATTTGTCTACAATTTGGCAGCCACTTTGTATGAAATACGAAAAAATGTGATAAAATTTCTACCATATTAACGAAACTTTTTACTGAATATCTCGGACTCTATAGGAGGTATCCAAAAATGGAGAACGCCATTTTTAAGATATTGATTAGTTTAATATGACTGCAGCACCAACTAAATTTTTACTAAATTATCGAAAAAGTTGTAGTCAATATCTCGGAAACTACAGAATACATAACTGCATCTAGAACTAAAAATCGTCAAAGTGGCGTTTACGACAATCTTTTACTCAGGCGACGAGTGTGTGTGCAAGCAATTTTGACATCTGATACTTCACAGTCTGTTGCCACACTCTTTCGCCAAGAAATATTGGAACGGGCATATATTTTTGTTGCAAAATTGTTTTCCACAAGGTTTTTTACGTCGCACGTTTGTTTTCTTTTCATTTATTGTTATGACACTTATCTTCCTCTTCTTTGACACCTTACTGTCAGCCCTAAATTGGCGCGTAAAGCGCCAAGCAACTGTCAAAAATCCTCATGCCCATACAATTTGTATGAAGCATCGCACATTAACGCGGCGCTAATGCCGAGTAAATGGATTTTTCATTTTTGACAGAGCGTTACGTGTTGAAGTTGGATACAGAAGACGGAAAGAAAGAGAAAGGACAAAAAAGTGAAAGAGGAAACGAGAATAAAAACGAGAGGACCTGAGAAAACGTCAAAAATTCCGACACGTTGATTTCATGAACCAAAAATACAAGATCACGTAAGAACGCGACGTTGTATTTGTAACTGGCTTTGAGAAAAAAGTTTGCGAAAGCGGGTTCGTCAGCTGAGCGTTTGTTTACATCACAAGCACCACTATTTTACACTTTTATTCAAGTAAAGAAGAATTAATTCAACATAACAACACATTTTAAAGCATTTTGTTGCATCATTTTACCTAAATTGTGCGTTTAAAGTGGCTGACAATAATTTTGGCTAATTTTGGTTTTCGTTGTTTTCTTTGCTTTGTTTACTTTTCGCTCGTTTTTCAGTGAAACAAGATGGTGTAGAACCCGCTAAAAAAAATCGACTTTTTCACTCTCTTGTTCTTACGTGATCTTGTGTCTTTCGTTCATGGCGTTGATTTGAGGATAGCGCGCGCTGACACTCGTTGACAATGGATAACGTAACGCTTAGCGCTCCAATTTAGAGACGGCAGTTAAAAACGCTGCAAACCGGGTTTCGATTTCGTCAAAAGAGAAGAACATCGAATCTTGAAAGATTCGCAGCGACGGAGTCGTGCAAGTGTACGTTAGCTCATTAAATATTGTTACGATTATCCTTGACTACTGGATGGATTTACAAAAAATCTCTAGGTTCGTATCGATGGATTGTTAAATAAACGCTCACTATGACCAAATTACAGTACATTTAACTTTATTGTACAACAAACCCTTTACAATACTTGCCTATGCAAAAAACAACACTTATTAATAATTGTTAGGGAAATTGAAACAAAACTTGCTAACACAACTGAGCTTATAGCTTGCTGATTCGCAATTAATTTGTATGGTAGCTTGCTGACTTTCAACGAACTTGACTCGTACTGTGGTGGCCTTATATACCTGCGCTAGCATTCATGACAGCTCTAGAATGTTCTGCCGTCTATCGCTCCTGCTCTCATTCTCTCGCTGTTCGCAGTATTCATCCACTTGACGTTTCTCGCTGTCGAATATTCTACGTGATTCCTCGAACATTCTGCCAATTTCTCGTCGTTCGCTTCGCGTTGCCGCAGTATTTGTCACAATATATTGGTAGCATTGTTGTAATTTTTGGCTCTGCGTATTCGCAACGTCAGAATGGCGCTTATGTGCTCTTCGCTTAAAACCTACAGTATTTCACGGATATTTACAACGTTAAAAATACACGAGTTACTTAAAGCCGTGCAGTTCTTATTGAGAATCAGCTAATTATTTAGATTTTTACTATATGTATAGTTAATTCGTTTTTGTGAGCTCTAGGCCGCAATTTAAATAAAACATCAATGTCTGTTTTTTGTATTTACTATACCCTACCGTTCATTCACTACGGGTGGCTGAGTGCTTTTCGAGCGAAACTCACGATAAGGCTGATATATTTACTAGCTGATATTTTGACCTCTTTCTGAAGTCGTTTTCAAAAACGTTTAAGCTTTGGTTCTATGTTGTTGCAGCGGTGCTATTTAGCCCCTCCCAAACCGATTCGTCCATCATTCGTAATCGTCAAGGTCAACTCGTCAAAGTCAACTAACACTATGCCTATTCACTATAATTTACTATCGTTCTTCTTCTTCTTATTAGGCTTTACAACCGTTTGTCGGTTTGGGCCGAGACCAGAAAGTTTCGCCAGTGTCATCTCTCCTTTGCAGTTTTGCACCAGTTGTTCATCCCAAGTGCCGACAGGTTCCTCTGCACTTGGCCCTTTCATTCATTGTTCACCCATGGGTGCGGAGTCGAAGGATCTTTTCACTGGAGCGTCGTCATCCAAGCGTACAACATCTCCAAGCCAACGCAATCGTTGTATTTTTGTTTGCGCTTGACTATGCCAATGTCGTTAAAAAGCTCGTACAGCTCGTTATTCCATCTTCTTACCGACGAGTACCGAAGAATATGTAAGATGGCAGAAGCAGAAGAAATTGACTAACGTTACTTTAACGAAAACAAAAGCATATATTTTTAAGTTTTCAGCCACTTATTGATTACACTATCGATTAATGAGGTATCAAAATCACTTAAACTATGTATACATTTATAATTCTTAGTTTTAAAATGGTTGCACTTTAAAAAAGTGTTAACCAAGCTGTTGTCTACGTCCCAGATTACGTGCCACTTCAGCGCGATAACGGAAGAGGGGACGAAATACGTTAACTTCTGCGACCTCCATATCAAAGTCCACATCGACGGGTTCATCGAGTTCCGCCTGAGTCAAGGTGCGCCGCGAACGTTGATTGTGTACATTTGCTACGGTGAGAAATGGAATTGGCTGTTGCTGGACGACGATAGGTTCCAAAATCAAAAATGAATTTAAATCTTGTACTGGTACATATTGGCGCCTATGTCGTAGATTCACTTCAAGTGAATTCGGCTTTGCTGTAGTAGAGGTTACGGTAGGCCCAAGATTGTTGTTTTCATTCTCACCGGAGATGGGAAGTGAGTAGGCGAGGCCAAGCAGTGCGCATAAAATTATGTAACGAATGTTTTGACACTGTAGTGAATATGAGAAATGAGAAAGCGAGAGGGAGTTAGAGCAAATTTGTTAAATGTACAGCCAAAATAAAGCGCCAAATATATATATTCTTTTGATACATATTTTATGTTTTTATATTCACTTACATTGTTATTGCACATTTTAAGCTTTTTTTCTTTTGCTTTATTGGCACGTTTTTTAATAGATTGGTGTCTTCTTACCAGGTTTTGTATTGCACTTTTGCCTATTAACAAGCTATTGTTGCAATAGGAGCTATTGCAGCTGCCTTTTATAGTGAGGCAACTTGTGAAAAATCGACAAGTAAGCATGAAAAGCACGCTTTCAGTAGCAATTACATTTTTACGAGTTGTATTTACATACTTAACAATTGCAAATTGCGAAGCTTAAAGTATACTATTTGACGCCGTTATGCTAATGAATGGATGTTATAAAATTTATGTGAAAATCGTTTTTAATTAATAGTTAAAATCCGAAATTATTTAAGAAAATTGATAAAGTTAAAATTGCTGGCATACATATTTGGCAGTAATTTTAAATATTTTATTAATCATTAGCGCGTTCACTAAAACTGGTGTTAAACTTTTTATATACATATAGGTTTAGTAGTAACCATTTTATTCAGCGAACTCATTTCTTCGCCACAAAATACGCCCAATATATCCGCTTCCTGTATCTGGCTAACATCCGGCGCGCTGGTACGTTTACTTGCGCCGTCAAAAATCAGTTCCGCTACGGCAGCGCGCTCTCAAATGACGCTTTGTTATCTTCGAAAAAAATTAGCGCAATTAACATCAAATAATTTTTAGTTTTCGCACCTACGAACGTAATTAGCTGTTGACAAAGCGATTTTTTCAACTTTTGTGATTCATTTTGTAAAAAAATAGTGCAATTTACTTTACCCCACCGCTAGTTTGAGTAAAAAAGTGCTCTTTGCTTCCCAGTAAGAACCGTATCTGTTAAATACACTACGCCTAGTACTACAAACAGTTTGTGTGAGAAATTCAAAAACTTTCCATCATTTTTTTTTTTAATTATTTATTTATTTAGTTTTCTCTTTCTTTTACATGATATACGCTATTATGTTATCATATATGTAGTTGTCTCTTTTCAATAAATATATCATATTGGAATTTATTATTAAAAAAAAAGTTATACAAAATCTGCAACATTTATTGCTAATTTTATTTACTCGCACTTTGTCGTATGTTACAGTTGACAACATGGTTTTGCTCAATTCATACACATGCGACAAATTACTAGCAAATTATAACACAAATCATATGGAGAAAACTTTAATTTCAGGTTTATTTGATAATCAAAATATATTTAATTTTTAAGCAAAAAAACAAAAGCGGCTTCAATTCTCATATCAAAACTTAAGATTACCGTTAATTTCTTCATGATCCCATGAACAAATCTAAACCAGTACGGGACCACTCTTGAGGCAGTAGCGTACCTTTAAATAGTGCAGGCGTTAAGGTGAATTCAAGTGCATGTGCTATGTTTGTGTGTGTGAAAGTGTATGGTATAGCCTCCTATCCGCTCTGATTACGCACCTTGTCCGAGGCACATGCAATTGGTGCAGTGTTGCCACAACTGCAGACATCTGATCATTCACAGTGTCATGGATACGGTCAATTGCAACATAGGTTTATTAAAGGGAATGTCATTTGGCCACTGAGATCATCCGACTTGGCACCATGCGACGTAATAGTGATGGCAATTGCAAAGCTGACGAACTGACAAGGATAGGTAGGACCATCTACCACCTTTTGGAAAAGGACACGATAGATATAGCAATAGCCACTTTCAGGTAGTTTGTTAGAGATCACACAATTCTAGTAACGCCAAAGAACTTTTCGCCTTGCGAAACCATCAGGATTACCTTGTTTTTCTATAAAAGGAAACGCTTACGGCCCACTTCCCTAATGGGGAATCAGGACTTGTTTTGACCTATGTTACATGTAGGATCGATTCGAAAAAGGTACCAAATTAAAAAATAAATAACCAAATCACCAAATTTGTTAAATAAAGACAAAAATGACCAATTTTGGTAAAAAATTACCAAAGCTGCAACGCTGAATTGGTGCACCATATTCATAGACGTCATTAGGCGCGCGTTCAAATCACGCGAGCTGCAGCTGCTTCGCAATATACATATGTACGTGTGTAGTATGTATGCCACAGTTTTGTCATTGTTCGTGTTTGTTATTATTTGCGAATGTCATTTGAACTTTTAAACAAATATTTTTGTTTATTATTCTCGCGCTCGCGCTCGCGCTCAGTTTAAATTTAGTAGTGCTACAAATGAATACCTTAATGTAAATCATCACGTATCCCTCAATGATTCATTGGCTTAGTGAGAAATGGCATTCGCTACTTTTTTACCTTGGGACAGTTATGTAATGAATACAAATTAATTTAGGAAAGCATTTGTTTGTGGAGAGTTTTTTGAAGAGTTTGTATAAAGTTAAAAAAATTTGAGCGAACGAATTTTTGAACTTAACTAGACTACATATATACATAGAATAGATTATTAAAGTTTAAAATTAAAAAAAATTCTAGATGTATGATATTTTTAATAAACTGTTTTTCTTTCTAATCAAAATCAAATTAAGTTCTGGACTTTACTTTGTCTTGTGATCACGCATTAATGACAGACCTCAAAGTGAGAAAGTGCGATAGTGAGGAATCGGTGTGATATTTATGTGGTAAGCAGAATTGTAGTGGAGAGCGGGTAACGGGCTGACGGGGGTTGATCCATTCCAGTCGGGTAAACACAATTGCGACGGGAACGGTAAGCACTATTGCTTTTTGACATTTCGCTCAGTGAAACCGAATGCAAACGCACACAAGCCTATTCGGGTGACGCAGCCAAACAAATAAGACGGAGTTCGTAAAAAAACGGTGTCCGTTTGTACTGAGCATTCAAGGGTTTTATTTCAGTTCCACTATGTTTCGAGGTAGGAAGGATTTACGAAAATTTCAAAAGTAGGTATAAATAGCTAATAGTATTGCCTGCGAAATAATTTCTATAAAACCCTTATGTTCTATATATTGATTGGTTGCTTTAGCTTTTATAAATTTTTTTTTTTTATATTTACAAGACATCAATCTAAATGTAGTACTACTGACCTACCTTATTGATGTGATTCTCAGCCGTGCAGTGCAGTAAGTTATCGTGTAAAATTTCACACCACTTTGAAAACTCCTGAAAGCTTCTCAGTTTATGTAAATTATTTCTTTCTAATTTTCGTTTAATTCTATGACTATTTTATTCAAGTTTACATGAAATAAAAAAAAATATTGCATGTTTGTGCCGCACATTTGCGAATGTTTTTCTTAACATAATGCTTACGAAAAAAAAAACTCAGCGGCAATTATTAGACAATTAGTGGTAGCTATTCTGCAATTAACACATCCCTTACGCTGTTGTTGGTTTGCTGTCATAACAATAGAATGTGTTGGCAAGAAATAATTCTGTAAATAGGCACTTACAGGCATAAGTACTTACATACATACATACGAGTATGTACGCGCGCCTAAATTCGCGTTGACGCAAATGCCATATAAATGAGGAAACTAATTTTAAGATTTGCTAAGGCAAATAAAATAGAATTTACAATGTATTTTCAGTTACAAATAAAAAAAAAATATACATAACTAAATTGTATGAAGCTAGTCAAGAATTGTTGTTTGTTTAGTTTTTTTATTATAGAAAAACCAATTTAGTTAGCTGAAAAAATCAAAGATGTTCGCTGATGTTAAGAATAGCAAATTTTTTGACGTAAGCAAGGCACTGAAACATTTGTTGTAACACGTATTTTTAATTTACATGAATTTAAAAAACTTTCAGCGCTTTCAACCTACCGCCACAAATTTAATAGAAGGCCGTGTCGAAATTGCAACTTTTTAGTCACGCAATTTTACTGTCTACTTTGCCGCTAGTTTTCTTTAGCTTCCCAACTTTTACCAAGTATATGGTGATATAAAGGTGATACAGATCTTTGACAGCAATTATTTGTGATATATTAATTATTTTATATTCTTTTTCAGGCAATTGGTACTACATTCTTTGGCGAACTTAGTCATGGAGCGATACTTAGTTGAATAAAAAAAAATCATTATGAGCTATGAGGCAAATTTTCATCTAAACGGATACGATCTAGCAAAACTGCGGCCACTGCACGAACAACTAGATAGTCACTATTCGGTGTGATTTTTGGGCTGGCGGAGTCATCGGACCGTAAATACTTCTTCGAAAATGAAGCCGCTAATGCTGTTACGTTGCACGGTGAATGTCATCGCGACATGATAACAAAACTTTTTATGGCCTGAATTAGATAGCATGAACCTGGAAAATATCTTTCAACCGAAAGCTGCCAATTGCCAAACAGCGCATGAAACAATGGCCCTATTGAGAATATCTGTGTTCTTATTGAAACACCCTGTACATGTTTCTGAATATGTCTACCCCCATATACATACTTTGGAGAAATATGTATGTATATTTGAAACATTTGTAGATCCATAAAAATTCAGTACTTACTGCCTAAATGTTTTTTTTAAATAATAAGCGAAAATAAAAACTATCCTCTCACAAAGTATTTGAAACACTCAATTTCTTTTTATTGTTTTTAATATTTAATCAGATTTTTAAATTTTCATATATTTTTTTTTTGTTTTTGATTTACATATACATATGTATTTGATTACACAAGAAAACTCATATAAGGTATACATTTTACAGTTAATTAATGGCTGTCATTGTTGGTGTTTTTTTTTTATTGCTGATGCATGTACTTACATGCATAAATGTACAATTTCTGAAAAATTATTAATTAAAGTTTATTGTGGCTTATTTCCTTATTCCTTTTTTATTTCGGTTTTTTCACAAGTTTACACAAAGTGTGGCAAAGTATGTACTTGTAGAAGTATTTTTGGTAGAAGTTTCGTTTATATGGCTGTATGTATAGTATTTGTTTCGTATGCAGATGCGTATGTATTTAATTATTGTGTGTATATATGTACTATATAGTATCTATGTATGTATGTATGTATATACGAAAGTATGTATGCATATAATTATGCGCTCATAAGTATTTTTAGTTAGGGCTAGTTGATCCATCTGCAAGTCACACATAGAAAACATTAGAGACACTTCAACTTAATATGTATGTATGTACATACAAGCTGAATTTTGCAATTTCATTTTCAAACATGAAATTCATTTCAAAAATTCTTCATATTTTCTTAATGCTATAAAATCTTTGATTTCGCTTTGAATAGTTCATTTACTTTTGATTATGATCTCTTCAATTAAATACATACTATGTTGCCAAGTTTCATTTGTTTACTAGTAAAATTTTTAGTAAGTATACATGGAAAAATTTAATTAAATTTACTTGTACGGAAGACAAAAATATATTTTTTGTACAAGTACTTATTATCTATTTTTTTTATAAATTTTTTTTGTATGTACAATATGTTATTATATATGAGAATATCTAGAAGAAAATTTTTGTATTCATTTAAAATTAAATCGAATAGAAAAGTGTACCTAAAATTTTTATAATAATTGTTATGCAGGTTGTTTTGAAAAGTGTTGTTTTAAACTACACTAACTTTTACTAACTTATTAGCTCAAAATACAGCCTGCACTTTTTGGAAGTAACTTTTTAAAATAAAACATGGTAAATTATAAGAAGAAATAGTTTCAAACTCAATGCGAAGACATAAAGTGTTGCATGCGGAAGATTTTATGAATGTAAAAAAACTATGCTTTTCATCTAGAGCTACTCAATGTTAATAATAATTGCGAAAAGTATATAAACTCTAGCAATATTCCTTTAATGATTTTTCTTAAAGATAAGTATTATTAAGTTCACGTAATATATAGAGGATTCGCAAAGAGTCATAATGAGCTACATTTTCAAAATGTAAGGTAATAAAGAAATTAATTTTAAGCAACTTTTATATTTATAGTTTTGTGACATAATGACTCTTATGACACCTTGTGAATGCCCTAAATATTATTGTTGTTTATGATTTAAGAATATCTGCAATTATAACGAATAAATATACATGAGTGTAATGAAATTAATAAATATTTTTATATATACAGTTTTAAATAAAATAAATAACAAATCAAAAATATCCGAATGCATAGGTAAGTAATCAGTACCTTTTGAAGTACACAAATAAAATAAATAAAAAGAAAAAAGTCCAACAAGAGAAGGTACGAGAAGGCATCTATAAAGGAAAATGCTTCGACAGCGTCGGTAAGTAATCATTACATTTTGAAGCAAACAAATAAAATAAATAAAAAGAAAAAAGCCCAACTAGGGAAGATATGAGAATGTCTCCATAAAGAAAGAACGCTTTCACAGCATCGGTAAGTAATCATTACATTTTAAAGCAAACAAATAAAGACATAAAACTTCGCTCTTCAGAAGGTGTCAGAATTTCATGCTATAAATGTCATAAAGCACAGAAAAAGTCGTAAATTTGAGCCACTAACAAAAAGCGAAAGAAAAAAGCATGCGATTAAAAAATCTAAAATTCTTAAAAATTTCCCCGTGAATGTACACACATACATATACACATAATTCATTTTGATTTAACTGTCTACTTTTTAGAAGCAACAGATACATCAATTATAATCCAAACAAAATTTGTGTAGGTATATAAGTAGGTTTTTCTAATTTAGTCACTTGTTTATAATTTCGTTTGAGAAATTCTACATACTTATATTAATTTATAAATTTTTGATATTTTTGATTTACACGAGTTTTTCATTTAAGAAATGGGCACTTTGGCAGATATTTATAGATAGGTTTTGATTTTGTATTTGTAAACAAATTAGATTTATTTATTTTTAGTTATAAAACTATTACTTATTAACTAAGTAAGGGAAGAATAATTTGACAAAAAATTTATATTGTACAAACCAAAGTAAAAATATACATTTTTAATCAAAGTACACTTTGAAAAAAATTGCATAACTGAAAATTTTTGCAGTTTTTTCTTCAATCTTCTTCCCTTTTGTAAAGCTTTACTGAGCGCTTGTTTTCATACTATATATGTACAATGATTTTTCTTATTTTTTACTTAATACTTAAAGGACTTAGACAATACATACATAGTTTAAGCTAAGAAAATTTTTGTAGGGCTTACATGTCACTGGTGTAGTTCTCTAACTCAGAAAAAAAAATTGGTAAAGCAACTTTTACCATTTTGTCAGTTCGGGTACTTAACTATTGATTTTTTGGCGCATTTTTTTAACAAGAAAAACTATTTTCTTAAACTAAGGTTAACATGTACGTAAAAAGCTTTATTGTTCGGTCAGAAACAAAATGAAAATATTAGACTTTAATCAATTTACTAATATGCTTCATGGCTAACTTTTGAAAAAAGCAAAAATCGTGCACCAATTTTTTAGTCTTAAATTTCTTTTTCTTACATTGCGTTTCCACTTTCCCCAAATTGAGTAATTATGACACTCATTTGCAAAATGGAATAATAGCTGCTTCCATCATTCTCTACTGACCCTTTGGTAAGTTCAAAATACTACTTGAACTGCCTTTTTTTAAAATAAATATTTTATCTAATTCTTTTAGTTTGAACTATTTCTTCATCCTTAGAATTCCTATAAGTTATTTGCAGCTTTTTAACATAATTTTCAATGGAATATATGTGAAAATGGCTGCAACTAACTTAAGAATCGACATTATTTCGACTATGAATATATATTTATATAATTCATATTCAACAAAAAAAAAAAAAAAAAATAGTGACAAATAAATTTTAAAATATACTTGAGAAAACGGCCTTAAAGTCGAGTACATGAAATTGAGAAAAGGTTTTCTCGCCCAAATTGAGAGTCGTTTGGGGCTCGTGAAACCACAATTTAGTACATATTTACACACCTTATTTTTAGCTTGTTTTCTTGATTCATTTCCAATTCACTTTGGCAAAGTTTTTCTATACATATTTACATACTTAATATATTAAATTGGCCATTTTAGATTCTTTTATCTTTAATTATGCTAATGTTTTATATTTTATAATATTCAAAAACATATGTTATTAAGAGATAGAAAATAAACTGAAGACAAATAAAATTTTTAAATTATAAAACTATCCAATAAAGTTTCCAACACTGTTCCACTAGGCATTGCAATGAGAAAACTCGGGGGTTTAATGCCTGAATTTGGCATTTGAAAGGCCAGTGGAAATCCGGCATAAGTTTCGTCCACAGGGCATTTTTTAAATGGCACAAATATTTTGTTATTTCAATACCTAAAGGAAATTCGGTATGGGCGAAGTAACAGCAAGAAAGTATACGAAAAGTAAAAAAAGGTCATAGAAAATTATATTTTGCACAAAGAATAAGCTAGCAAAAACAAGAACATTTAAAAGAGAATAAAAATATTTAAAATTAAAAAATATTTTTAATTGAAAAAAAAAATAGTTATAATGCATTTCTATTGATATATGGTTACTATTATAATTCTTCATATAGCACATAGTATATATATTTGTACATACATATATCTATTGGTTATATTGGCATGTATATATATTCATATGTATGTAAATTAGTGGCAATTTCTATTTTCATGTAATTAAATTTAAACGAAACCTGCTGTTTTTAAAGGGCATTTGGTTTTATTCTTAAGGTTTTGATTTTAGTTAAAAAAATGTATCACCACGGATATACATATGTATGTATGTAGATACAATAGCTTAACAGCACTTAAGTAGCCGCTAAAGTATACATAATATACAGTGCTATTGCATTACTGTTAAACTATGACATTTTCAGATAGATTTTATTATTATTTTTTACACTTATATACAACATATCTACATAACTATATCTAAGGGTAATCTACCTACAATCGGTATAAGAATATTGATTCATGTCACACCTAACCTAGAGACTAGAAATACACATACATACACACATATGTACATATGTATATAAATAAAGTAGTTAAATGGTATACTACATATGCGTTAGATACATCTATTATTACGAAATCCTTAATCTACACCCACATACTACTTGGTTTCGCTTATTTTCATTATACATACATATGTAGATGCATAGCTAAGTACATACGGCTTAATTACATTTCTCTGCCAGTCCGATAATATTTATTTCTCCGCATACCATTCGTGCTGCTACTCTTTAGAGTACTTGCAAATTCTCGCAATGTTTAAATTTCGAATCCTCTTTACCCAGTATCCAGGTGAGCATTTGGCGTGCTTTCATGCTGGCCAACACAACGCTACGACTCTTATACCAATGCGCTGGCGAGGAGGCGCCATCTCGATTGCCCTGAAATTGTTAAGGATTTGAGTAAAAGATTAAATTGCGATTACGTTGTAGTTAAATGTAGTTTGAGGGGGTTTTAACGCACGTACATACATATGTATATATGTATTTACAGTTGTATGGATTTACTTTTACATACATGGATATATTTTAATTACCCATACTTCAAATTACAAAAAAAAAAAAAATTATCTGAACGTCAGGATATGTGAAGGGGTAAAAAATATTTTACATATTTCTATACATGTTTGCATGGAAGTGAGTTTTTAATAAAATGTATTAAATTTCAAAAGTGTAAACAGTTCTATGTACTATAAATGCACTTTCGCTAGGGCCGAAACTATGAGCATGCAATACAGATCTTATTGCCGGGTCCGTAAATACCCGCACATGTTGGGCTTTTTTTGACTTGTAAGCCCATTGGCACAGACTTCCTTAAAGTAGATTAATTTTGATTGGAGTCAAAAAGCCCGACAATTTTCATGCTCGAGACTCTTCCTTATTTTTGCGCGGACTGAAATGAACGAGGTAAACTCGAGCTCTCTTCCCCCTCTTATCCACACAAAACCGGTTGTAGGCGGACTGAACAGTCTAGTGTACAGAGGCCCATTAACCTTGAAAGGGCTAAGTAGCCGCTGCAACAACAACAAGCAATCGGTATGAGCAACACTAAACTTTTTATCTAATAGCGGTAATGGATAATGCTTAATTATATTTCTGTCATTAAAAACCTCTCATAAGCAACCTGTAGTTGACAACATTAATAGGTTCTATACAAATGGGAAGAGAAACTAAGGCAAACACTTAGTAAAATATGTAAATATAGGTATTTTTACTTATATGTGCGCAAACATTTACTAAACGAATGAAAACTCCTTCTTTTGTACTAAATACTACGAGTATTTAATTTAAAAAGTACCGTTTGATGAAATAATTTGAGGCAAATAAATAATGTACGTACAAAATACGATCATGCAAATAACTTTTATATGAATTTTATATTACAAACAGGGCTTGTATAATTAAAACGCTACTTATATGTGGTGGTGCTTAAAATAACGACATATTAATTTTGTATGGGGCAAGTTTTTATGTACAAAATGAAGGCTTCCACGATATTTTTAAAATTTAAAAAAATTGTTCAGGGTTTGAAATTTTTTTAAGTCGCATAATTCGAAAATATTTTTTGACTTTGACCAGCTATAACTCAGCGTAATGAAACTTTTTCATATAAATTAAGTAAATAAAGTCTAAATTTTGTAAAATTATTTCGATTTAAAAATAAAATTATTGTTTTTTAAACCCTGGCAGCGACACACATTTTTCTATTTTTCAAATTGAAATTCTTGTGGTGTCTTCATTTTGTACGCAGAAAAAAATAAAGGGATGTTGATATTTTAAGGACCATCCTAATATAAATAATACTAAAGTCCCAACGTAAGTACTTAAAAAAATGTATATGCCGTTGCAAAATACGTATATAGTTTAAAAAAATTTACAATTTGCTTAACTATAGCAGGGAAACAAGTATTTATAGAAGGGATCCAAAGATTTGTAGTTCGATTATTCGGTTCATATTTACTCACCAAATTTTCAGAGTTTTTCTCATTTACACAATCAGCGCCATTATGCTCTAAAGCATTGTCAATAACTTTTTCTCTTTCTTTATATTTATTATCTTTATCTTTGTGCTTTTCTTTGGATTTTTTATTGGTTGTACGTAAAGTACCATCTGGATTCTTTTACGAAAATTGTTTGAGTTATTGTTAGAGAAATAACAACGGAACGGGGTAGTTAGTGGGAGCCAGGTTTTCAAAGAGGTGGGAGTAAAAGTTAAGCCGATCAAGTTGATAAGGGTAAACGTAATCGATAGTTGTCACAACAGTTTTAGGGAGAATACAAATTTTGAAAGTGTTGAAGAAAGGAGATTTTAAATTTATTCAGAAAAGTAATATTTGTTGCAATCATAAGGGAAATGACAAAGGTAATCGCAAAGGTAATTGCAGTGATGGTGAAAGTAATGGTGATGGTAGTGGTAATAGTAATCGTAATTGGAATAGTTAGAGCAATTAGAAATGGTAATGGTAGTGGTAATAGTAATCGTAATTGGAATAGTTAGAGCAATTAGAAATGGTAATGGGAGCGGTAATAGTAATGGTTATGGTAGAAATAATAGTAATTGTAGTGATAACGATATAATTAATAGTAATGGTAATGATAATTGTATTCGTAATGGCGTTGTAATGGTAATGTGAATCATTATGGAGACCACAAAAGCAATGGTTATGGTAACCGGAATGGTAATGGTGATCGTAGTGGTAATAGTAATGGCAGCGGCATAGTAGAGGTAATAGAAAAATAATGGAAATAGTAGTGGTAATTAAATTGGTAATGGCATTCATAATGATAATTTAATGGTAGTGGTACGGGTAAAAGTAATCATAATGGGTCAGTAGTGGTAATAGTAGCGGTTATGATTATGGCAATGTCATGGATAATGGGAATGGTAATGGTTATCACAATAGTAGTGGTAAAAGTAATGATAAAGGTAGTGGTAATGATAACGATAATGGTAAAAATAATGGAATGGTAATGGTAATGCCAATGGTAATGATAATGATGATGGTAGAGATAATGGAATGGTAATAGTAATGATAATAGTAACGGCAATCGTAATGGTAATGGTAATGGTGATGGTAATGGTAATGACAATGGTAATGATAATGATCATGGTAGAAATAATGGAATGGTAATGGTAATGATAATAGTAATGGCAATCGTAATGGTAATGGTAATAATAATAGTAACGGTAATCGTAATGGTAATGGTAATCGTAATGGTAAATGATGGAGTGGCAGGAGCAATGTTATACGGAATGGAAAAGATGATCATTGCATAACAATATGTGAATTGTCAAAAAA